GGTCTCCTTACTATTTCCATTTGGACTGGGGGGAAACCTGAAAGTTCTCCACATGAACACCAGAAAGATTCTTCACTTCCTGAAATATCAGGGATGGTTGTGTGGAAAGCATTCCCATCAGGAATATAATGCACAATTACTGCTTTGCCATTCTTGGATACTTAATATTAGCATCTTTGCAAACTATACACTGTTCGTCATTGCATGTTGATGTTCTGTGTTTAATATTTATGATGCTGTTTGCTGCCTCTTTCTCTGAATTCAGTCTCTTTTTAACATGAATGTTGCTATGACCTGTACATGGCACTGATTCTACCAATATTTCTAATTGTCTGAAGTTCAGGATGAAAACATGTTTAAGTAATCTTGTATGTCCCTCGATTGTCTGCTGCAGCTTCACTCTGCCAATATCCTTACAAAATGTTCATTACGAGGAGTTTACTTGCTGTGCTGGTCTACTTATTACCTGCATTGATATCTGTCATCTACTACATCACGTACTGTAAGTAAGAAGTTACAGACAAAGTTAGGAATTGGAAGTTGAGAGTTTATTATTCTGGCTACATGGCTGTTGGAATTCTATCTTATGCATATTTCCCTATCTCATTGTAAAGTATTTTCTTTCTCCTACATCTTTTAGATGTATCATGAAGATGAAACCACGCTGAAGAGTATTATCCAGAAATGTTTACCTTTATATTGCACTGACTTTTTTGTTTGCAGGCCTATGCATATCAGTGGCCTAAGACCTGGGTCGACAATCCATCAAGGCCAATGGTGGGACCTGGCGGTAGGGGTGGGGAGTTGTGGAGAAGGGAGGCAACCAATTGGCAGCCCTGTTTCAGATGATAGACAGATTCCAAGACCAGACAGCCATTCAGAGGCCATTACAATGCTGAAAGATTGGCAGCACCATTATCAGGGTTGGGCTCTGCTGATAAAGATGGGCAAAGGAGATGAAGGTGCTTTCTAAAAATACAAGTGTCTACAGATGGCAGGTTCTTGTTGTGGAAGAGGAGCACGTCCTCACGATGGCATGTGGTTGGGGCTTTCTGGCGTTCCCTGACCCTGATCGGAAAATTCTTGCTTGTGTCAGGACACATAGAACACAGAACATAGAACAGTACAGCACAGTACAGGCCTTTCGGCCCACGATGTTGTGCCGACCTATTATCCTACTAAGGTCAATCTACCCTGCATACCCTACATTTTACTATCCTTCATGTGGCTATCCAAGAGTCGCTTAAAAGTCTCTAAAGTATCTGACTCCACTACCACTGCTGACAGCGCATTCCACATGCCCACCACTCTCTGTGTAAAGAACCTACCTCTGACATCTCCTCTCCCTTCCTCCAATCACCTTAAAATTATGCCCCCTTGTAATAGTCATTTCCGCCCTGGGAAAAAGTCTCTGACTGTCCACTCTATCTATGCTTCTCATCATCTTGTACACCTCTATCAAGTCACCTCTCATCCTTCTTCGCTCCAATGAAAAAAGCCCTAGCTCCCTCAACCTTTCCTCATAAGACCTGCCCTCCAATCCAGGCAGCATTCTGGTAAATCTCCTCTGCACCATCTCTAAAGCTTCCACATCTTTCCTATAATAAGGTGACCAGAACTGAACACAATATTCCAAAAGTGGTCTGACCAGAGTTTTATTGAGCTGCAGCATAACCTCACGGCTCTTAAACTCAATTCCCCTGCCAATGAAAGCCAACACACCATACACCTTCTTTATAACCCTATCAACTTGGGTAGCAACTTTGAGGGATTTATGGATGTGGACGCCAAGATCCCTCTGTTCCTCCACACTGCCAAGAATCCTGCCATTAACCCCGTAATCTGCATTCAAATTCAACCTTCCAAAATGAATCACTTCACACGTTCCTGGGTTGAATTCCATCTGCCACTCCTTTGCCCAGCTCTGCATTCTGCCAATGTCCCGTTGCAACCTACAACAGCCATCCACACTGTCCACAATTCCACCAACCTTCGGGTCATTGGCAAACGTACTGATCCACCCTTCCACTTCCTCATCCAAGTCATTTATAAAGATCACAAAGAGCAGAGGTCCCAGAACAGATCCCTGCGGAACACCACTGGTCACTGAGCTCCAGGCTGAATATATTCCATCTACTACCATCCTCTATCTTCTATTGAACAGCCAGTTTTGTATCCAGTCAGCCAAATTTCCCTGAATCCCATGCCTCCTTACTTTCTGAATGAGCCTACTATGTGGAACCTTATCAAATGCCTTGCTAAAATCCATATATGCCACATCCACTGCTCTATCTTCAACGATGTGTTTTGTCATATCCTCAAAGAATTCAATAAGGCTTGTGAGGCATGACCTACCCCTCTCAAAGCCATGCTGACTATTTCTAATCAAACTGTGCTTTTCCAAATAATCATAAATACTATCTCTCAATCCTCTCCAATAATTTTCCCACCACAGAAGTAAGACTGACCGGTCTGTAATTTCCAGGACTATCTCTATTCCCTTTCTTGAACAAGGGAATGATATTTGCCACCCTCCAATCTTCTGGTACTACTCCAGTGGACAGTGAGGATGCAAAGATTATTGCCAAAGGGGCAGCAATCTCTTCCCTCGCTTCCCATAGTAACCTTGGGTATATTCCGTCTGGCCCAGGGGACTTATCTATCCTCATGTTTTTCAAAATTTCTAGCACATCCTCCTTCCTAACATCAACCTGTTCGAGCATATCTGCCTGTTTCATGCTGTTCTCATAGATATCAAGGTCCCTCTCACTGGTGAATACTGAAGCATAGTATTGATTAAGGACCTCCCCTACCTCCTCTGATTGCGTGCACAAGTTCCCTCCAGTATGCCTACCCTCATTCTGGCCATCCTCTTGTACCTCACATAAGCATAGAACGCCTTGGGGTTTTCCTTGATCCTACCCGCCAAGGTTTCCTCATACCCACTTCTAGCTCTCCTAAGTCCATTTTTCAGTTCCTTCCTGGTTACCTTGTACGCCCCTAGAGCCCTGTCCGATCCTTGCTTCCTCAACCTTAAGTAAGCTTCTTTCTTCCTCTTGACTAGGTGTTCCACATGTCTTGTCATTCAAGGTTCCTTCACCTTACCATCCTGTCCTTGCCTCAGTGGGACAAACGTATCTGGTACTTATAGCAACTGCTCCTAAAACAACTTCCACATTTCTGTCGTGCATTTCCCTGAGAACATCTGATCCCAATTGGTGCTCCGTAATTCTTGCCAAATAGCATTGTAATTCCCCCTCCCCCAATTAAATATTTTCCCAAAACTGTCTGCTCCTATCCCCCTCCATGACTATAGTAAGCG